AGGGCTGTCTTTGAGAACGTGTAAGGCGAGTTACTACACAGAACCTCAAATTTGTCAGAGTTAAATTATAGTTAAATAAGACCTTATAAAATATTTGTCAAGTTAAATTGTAATTAAAAGATGGTCTCTATTTATTTTGTCTTTGCTAAACTACGACTAATCTACACAGAACTTCCAAAAAGTCGAGACAACTCTGATTCTATAATAACTATTTTATATAGAAATATTTGTAACATAATAATATATTTATTTTTTATATATAAATATTTGATTAGTTTCTTTAATTTTTATATTCAAATCATAATTTTTTTTATAAGCATATTAAAGTATAAAGAAATTAATGCGTTTTAAATTCAATTTGAAAAGAATTTAATTGGTATACATATATAAGTTTCTATTAAATGTATCCATAGCAATTAACCTCATTTAAAAATATGATCAATAACAAAGACACACAACGGTAAAATCCCCAAATGTTGCGCACGCAAAGCTTGCTATATAAAGACGCATTCGAAACAACAAGGTGGTGAAAGGTGGTCTCTTTCACTTCCATTTTCAACATCAAAGACAAATGAAAAGACCACGAAAATCAAAGAAAATGGTTTGCAAGGAACAATGGATTACTGCTGAGTATTATCAACAAGAAAAAGAAGAAGATGAAAGAAAATGGATCACACACTATTGTAGTGATCATCAAATACTTTTGGTGGGTGATGGCGATTTCTCATTCTCCCTTTCCCTCGCTAAAGTTTTTGCTTCTGCTTCCAACATTGTTGCTTCTTCTCTCGACACATATGGTTTTTTCTCTCTCAAACTCTCTCTCTTCTAAACCCTTAATATGCATGGTTGTAACATCATTGTGTAGATTTAGGGTTTATGCTTTATCATTGGATGGTATGTACTACATAGTTGTTTTTACTTGCTGGTGTTTTATGGGTTTACTGAGTTTGAGACTAGTCAATGTGATTTTCTTTTGCTTTAGAACCATTGGGAATGAACTTCTCTAAAGTTTGTTCCTTTTCCTTGTTTGTTTATAGCTTTTAATCATTTTCATATTGTTCATATTTTGGGTTGGGAATGAACTTCTCTAAAGGTTGTTCCTTTTCCTTGTTTGTTTATAGCTTTTAATCATTTTCATATTGTTCATAATTTGGGTTGGGAATGAACTTCTCTAAAGGTTGTTCCTTTTCCTTGTTTGTTTATAGCTTTTAATCATTTTCATATTGTTCATAATTTGGGGGAGTGCTTATGTGATGCATTCTATAGCACCACACCTCTGAAAAAAATGGTCCCTTTACACACCGAGACACGTGATTACATTTAATTTATTTATTTTTTCAAATTATTATTAGTGTCAATATCCTTGCTTCATAGGTGATGTTTCATGCATTGATGATGTATTTTGATTGCTTTGAGAAGTAGAGTATGTCAATGAACTTGGTTCTTTTTCCATCTTTTTTTTTCTTCGATTTTTAATTTTTGTAGTACTTCTTTTACTTGGTTATTATTCATATATGATGTCATCTAGTTTTGAAGGTGCATGATTCTATTCCAAATATGAAAATCAAAATGATACTTGTTTACAAAATTCATACACTTGTGTTCAAAAACTAAATGCTTTGGCCTTGGCTTGTCATCAATGCTCTTTTGTTCGTGTAGCCGAGGTTACCAAGAAGTACAAGAATGCAAAGTCAAATCTAGAAGAATTGCAGAAGCTGGGAGCATACTTGTTACATGGAGTTGATGCTACTCAAATGAAATTTCACCCGGATTTAAAAATGTGGAGGTTTGATCGCATTATATTCAACTTTCCTCATGCAGGCTTTCACGGGAAGGAAGATAACTTGATGATGATCAAGTGAGTTTTCTAGTAGAATTCAGTTTGATATCTAATTAATAATGTCTCGAGTACAAACACATATAACTGGCAATGAATCTGTTTGTGAGTGATAATATAAATCTACTTTTTTTTTTCCATTAAGCACGGGTTTCTACAGAATTGTAAATCTACCTTAGTAGTTTCATAGTTAAGGCTTTTAGAATGAACCTTTTCTTGTGAATTTTTAGGATGCATATGGATCTTGTGTTTGGTTTCTTCAAGAATGCAAGTCACATGCTTAGGATCAATGGCGAAGTTCATGTCAATCACAAAACTCCTCCTCCTTTTGATACCTGGAACATAGAGAAGCTCGCCGAACAAAGCTTTCTGATGATGGTCGAGTGTGCTGATTTCAAGCAAGAAGCTTATCCTGGTTATAATAATAAGAGAGGTCATAGGTCTCGGTGTGATGACCCGTTTCCTCTTGGTAAGTGCAGCACTTTCAAGTTTATATACAATCCTAGAAGTATGAAAGACCATTTGAGGAGAACTCATGTGGAGGTTTCCAGACAGCAAGAGATTCACAACATGGAGCAAATTCCAGCTCCAGTTGTTCGCAACTATCATCCTCAAACAGTTCTCGTTCAACAACCGAATCAACTTGGTTACTACCCTCAGACAAGTATCTTTCCAAAAACAGATCAACCCTATCATTATTCTCAGACAAATCTCTTTCCAAAAACGAATGAACCGATGAGATCAGAATTTGACATGAGAAATGGATACCATACAATCACAAACAATGTGACAGAAATGCATGGAAGAGTTGCTTCTTCTGCTGACCATTATCATTATGCTCAAAGATTCCTACAACCACCAATGGAGTCAAGTTACAACCAATTTTCACAACAGTGGCCGATACCAACTAATTGTAGACTTTGTTTTATGGAACACCATAGAAGAACAATGGATGTTGCTCCTTCCATGCCACTTGGTGCTAGAAATGATGGCTACTACCAATATCAACAAGTCTATGAAAGAAGCTCAACATACTTGCAAGAGAACAAGTTATTGTTATGATAGCAAGGCATGACTTGGAGAGGTACAATGCTGAAGTGCCTAGGAGAGATTTTAGTAGAGAAATCTATGTCATGCAATGAGTGTGTTCATGCTGCATAGAAGGATGATGATATTTTGTCACATGGATACTATTGCTAGATGGAGTTTTGAAACTGATGATTTTGTCACATGGATACTATGCTAGATGGAGTTTTGAAACTGATGATTTTGTTATCAACATATTCAGTTTATGTTATAAGAAATTAATCTTTTTTAGTTAAATGATCAAAAGAATTGATCAAGTTGACAGGTTCATTGATCATTAGTTTTTTTTTTTTCTATTTTAGTACTCCATTTGTTTCATATTATTTGTCATACATGTGTCAAATGGAGTAACACGTCTCCCTTGCCATGTATTGAATGAAACATCATTGAACATACTGTTTTATAGTATGGATGACAATGGAGAGGTGTAAGAATGCGAGGAACCTTAAACTTTTAAGTTAACAACATTAGTTATAATTGATGTTTTGAAATATTTTTAAAAACATAGACGCATATATAATACATTATACATGTATCACTTCTTCACCCTAACAATTGTCTTAAAAACAATTGCACACATTGAAGAGAACAAATACAGTTTTTTAATTTTATTTGTAGAGAACACAACCAATTTTGAATTGAGACATTTTTTTTATATATTTGAATCAAACCATTTTCATTGAATGGAGTGAATTCATAAAAAAATAAAAATTTAAACTCTTCTAATAACTATTGTTTTGTTATATTATTGAAGTAACGTGATTTGTGAAAATAATAAACTTTTGAACAAATAAAATATAAACTACTTTCATTATTTAACCATGCAGAAGAGTAAAGCCATTGTGCTACACATTCTACGGTAGGATTTAGATGTGTTTTTCACATGATCCAAATATAATGGATCCAATGTTTAAATTTAAATTTATTTATATAAAATACACCATCAATCAGTTAGGACGGCCGAGTGTGTTTTTCACATGATCCAAATATAATGGATCCAATGTTTAAATTTAAATTTATTTTATATAAAATACACCATTAATCTGTTAGGATGATCAAGTGGTTAGGGCTGGAAAAGAGTTGAGTCGAGTCGAACTCACTTCAGTTTGATTTGACTCGTTAAGAATTGATTCGAGTTCGACACGAATTTTTTTTAAGCTCAAACTCGAATCGTTATAAGTTTATGAACAGTTCGGTTTCAAGAGATACATTTGAGAGTCTAATTCAAAAACTACTAAATTGAAGATTAAATTTGTCTAAGAATTTGGAGTAAATATTTAAACGTAATCTTAAAGACAATATAATTATTCTTGTAATCGAGTTGACTCATGAACCTAACAAATCAAACTATGTATAGTTCAAGTTCAGCTCATTTAGTTAACGAATTTAATTTTTCTTTCATACTCAACTCATTTGGTTCATGAACCTAGTTCAACGATTTAATTGTCGAATCGAATTCCGAACTATTTTCGACTTGGTTCGGTTCATTGTCAATCCTAAGTCTAAAAAATCAGACTCAAATTCTGATTCAAATGTGCTGCTTTCTTTACATTTCCATGGACTTTTGGGCTATTATGAAATTTGTCTTTGGGCCTAATAATATAGCCCAGGTAATTTGATCATGTAAATTTACCAATTATCCCTACAATTTTACTTCCACTAGTATGATTTGTCTATTTTATCCTCCTTTATACATAAAACTATCAAAATTATAATTATTTTCTTACCCTGGTCTGACCCAATAAACAAGTGAGACAAGAAAGGAAATATTTACTATTTACAACTTGGAATATAAAAGTTCCATCAAATTAGATTAGTTGAAGGTCATAATAAAAGTGAAATTTCTGTTTTCCGATATAATTCTAAAAAGAATGAAAACAATTTTGAGTTTTGAAAGAAAAATATAAATAAATAAAAAAGGTGAAATAAATAAAAAGTAAAATGGTTTTTTGGTCTTTTGAGTTAAATGAAAGAAAATTATAATAAGAAAAGAAATACCCTTGCACTCTCTTTCTCTCTCTCACTCCCTACCCCTAACACAAAGAGGGATCCAACAAACACTCCAATCGCCTCCATCATGCTCCGTCAGCGTCTCCTCTCCACTCTCCGTCTCCGCGGCGGATCAGGCACCGGTGCAAGCCGATGGACAAGCCCCGGCCACGAAGAAAGACCCAAGGGCTACCTCTTCAACAGAACACCTCTTGCTCCAGGTGAGTCTCGCAACTGGGAAGATTGGGAACTCCCTTGCTACATCACTAGTTTCCTCACCATCGTGATCCTTGGTGTTGGCCTTAATGCTAAGCCTGATTTGACAATTGAAACGTGGGCCCATGAAAAAGCCCTAGAACGTCTCAAGATCGAAGATGCCATAGCCGAGAGCGAATCCTCTGAATAGAGATGAATTCGGATCGGAAGTGGTTTAGGTTAAAGACGGTTTGGTGTTATAATAAAGGTATAACTGCAAATTTGAATTGTTTTTGATGCTTGGACACTGTTTAGTTTTTATCTAATTTCTGCACACCACATGCTTGTTAAAAAGTGATGATTGATTGGCTTGTTATTATTTGTTAATGATCTTCTTTCCTTTCAATGTTAATCTTTCAATGTTAATAAGGCATTCCAGTGTTAAAAAAAATGAAAAATGGTGACAGATGTGTTTTCTTTTTCTTTGAACAAATTGAAGTAAATGAAATAGTCTTCTGCATCAAATAACAAATCCACTTCACAATTGCCTTTACCTGCTGCGGTTTTCTCACGCCGTTGTTTTCGCTTCATCTCGTCGCCACCACCATGATTTCTTTTTCTTCTTGTCTCGCTGCTAGCATCGTGCTTGCAATATCCATCTCGTCTTCCCTCTACCTATGTCTCGTTTTCAAAACCACTATGCATGTTGTTGCTGCAATGCCGACGGGTCTGTGCTCAACGCCGGCATTTAGAAAAGACAAATTCGTTTTGAGGAACAATAAAATTTCCAATGCATTTTAAAATGTTTCTTGTTGTAGGGAGAGATGAGTTTAGGACATGTGATAAGTTCAGAACTTACAAACAAGTTTGAATGTAGTGGGCAAATATTGTAGGATTGTTCTTTCTTCGTCTCATTTGTGGTTTCTAGGGCTATCAGTTGTGAAAAAATGTGTGTTGTAAGGAACTATCAGTTTAGGATATTTGATTCCTCAGTGTGAGTATGATGATAAATGAGGAGCTTCATGCAAACTGAGACCAGCCAACTGGGTGCATTGTTTTTCAAAATGCTGAGCACTCAGTTGGAGACATTGCAGTTGACAGATAAAATTACAATTCTTTGTAATTATGAGACTTAAATTATGTTAAGATGCATGCTACATGCCAATTCTTGCAATACCTTAAAAAATTACCGAGTATGTAACTCAATTTTAATGGTCAATTCTTTTAAAGTTGTAACTCATTTTTTAATCTATTGTTGTGGATGTAACTTAACAACCATAACAGAGGAAAGTATATCTCTTAATAAACGGGTTCATTTTCTAACACCAATGCCATAGATTTTCATAACAGTACCTGCAGAAAGTGAGAAAACAATAAAAGCATCCAAAATAACACAGGTTGTCATGAATTTGATTGTGTTTCAGAACATGGTTCAACTTTTAATTATGAGGCATTTTATTGTTTATTTATTAAGATATTAGCTTCATATATTGTACACGTAAAGTTTTATCCCATCAACTCATTGGCGTTGGAGAAACGAAGGTGAAGTTAACTCCGATAATGGCGGAGGAGACAAGACGAAAACGGCAAGCATCGTGGTGGCGGCGGCGACGGTGTGAGAAAACTGCAGGTGAAGGCAATTGTGAAATAAAAAGTTGTAATTATGCCTTCCCTTATCCTATCCTTTCTAATTCCTAACTCATTTATCAAAACTTAAGAAATACATGGTCACTGCAACGTTGTTGATCACTTAGTCAATTCACCGTCGTCCGTTGTTGATCACTTAGTCAATTCACCGTCGTCCATGCACCGCTAGCTTATTTCATCCCTATTAGCAGACTTGTCATCACATTCTATAGTGGGAAGGGAACTTCACCACCAGCATAAAGTGAAATCAAGCTTTCTAATGGTAAAAGTGCGATAACTCATGATATATAGAAATCGAATTTTGAAAGATGTGGACATTGACGACTTTGTCATGGATTTGAATTTCTAATTATATTGTTTGGATGTAGAGATTATGGGCGAGAAAAAAAGTGATAAGGTTTTAGATATTCAAATTTCCTTATTACAAGAGAAATACATTACTTATAACATAGTGATGTTATTGTCAATTTGTCATTATTGGGTGGAACTTGCAAGTTGCAACATTCCTAATTTGTGGCTGAACAACAACGGAGTCTTGAGTGAATTTAAAAGGATAAAGCATAACACAACATAAAAATTAGGAATTTTTTTTATTCAATGGAAAGGGAAGCAATCACAAAAATACGATTATTAGAAATGTATTATAGTTATTTTTTTTTAAGGTTTGAATAAGTTGAAATTACAGTATTATCACTTGATTTTAGATAATCGGTTGAAAATTGTCATAGAATTGAATGAGTTTAAATTTCAATGTTTTGTTTGCAACTGTAAGAGTTCATTGCAGAAAACAAATGGTTAAACAAGAACGTAAACAACAAGCTTGTGAAAAATTACTTTAGTAAATGTAGAAAAAAGAATAAAGTGGTATTCCTATACTAAAATTCGACACCTACACTTGTTCACCAATGAATTATGAAATATTATAATAATGTTAATTTTTTTTAGAGTAAAAAATACTTGTGATTAATCATCTTTATAATTTCGTTAACCAATTTTTTACACTTATTAACTAACTTTGTTTACTGGTAAAAGTTATTTTTAATATCAAAATGTTTATTAATCAATTCATAATTTAATTAACTAACTTTTTATTTTTTATTAACTAATTTTTAATTTATTATTTAAAGTTATTTTTAATATTTGAGTGTTTATTAACCAACTTTATTACTTTATTAATTATTTTTATTTTATTATAAAAAACTATTGTTCATACATTGTGGAGGGACAATGTTTATAATAATATTGGCATACATGTATATGGTTCATATGACATTGTTTATCACTATTCATAAAAATTGTTCTGGAGTGGGCCCAGACCTGCCCATCTGTCCGGCAGGCCCAACAAGGCCCAAATCTCCCTTTGTCGGGCACAAATACGCCGTGCAGACACCTCCCCTGTCGGGCAGAATCACACGTCTTCCACACGTTCTACACGTGCTCTCCCACGCGAGGACACGTCATTAGGCAACTACCCACCTCTGAAAGAGCTGGCCAGTCCACCTTCCGGAGATCACGGGACAGTTGATCTAGGACGAAGACCACGTGCTGATCTTCACTACGCCACGTAAGCCCTAGCAGTTACTTGGGTTGAGCCTGAAAATCTGACCCAATGAAAGTAATTGTTGACCCTGCGCTGGGGTCTCTCTATAAATACCCTCTTTCACTAGAGGGTCGGGTATTCCATTCTCTACACCTAATTTCTATATTTGCTCTCACTCTGATCCTTTACTCACTTAAGCATCAGAGTGTCTTGCAGGTACACCCCTCTCCCTCTCCTTACCTCCGGTGAACAACTACTAGTCGACGACGCGTTGTCAGTCAGCAATCTCTCCTGATGAGGTACGATCAATGGCGCCGTTTGTGGGAACAAGGTATGATGAACAAGTCATTAGGGACAGTTGATCTAGGACGAAGACCACGTGCTGATCTTCACTACGCCACGTAAGCCCTAGCAGTTACTTGGGTTGAGCCTGGAAATCTGACCCAATGAAAGTAATTGTTGGCCCTGCGCTGGGGTCTCTCTATAAATACCTCTCCTGATGAGGTACGATCAGTGGCGCCGTTTGTGGGAACAAGGTATGATGAACAAGGTCTTCCGGGGAGAGATTGGCGACATGCTTGAAGTTTACATGGACGACATGTCGTCAAATCGCGTACCGAGGTCGACCACACGACCCACCTCAAGTAGGTCTTCGAAACAGCTAAGAGGTGCAAAATGCGATTTAATCCGGAGAAGTGCACCTTTGGGGTACGCGCGGGAAAGTTCCTCGGGTTTTACCTGACCGAGCGAGGGATCGAGGCAAACCCGGACAAATGTCGGGCGTTCTCCGAGATTGCAATGCCGAGCACGAAGAAGTCGATCCAGTCCCTAAACGGGATGCTCGCCTCATTATCCTACTTCGTTGTCAAATTCACGCAGCACACCCTTCCATTTTTCAAACTACTAAGGAAGGATGTCGCGTTCGAATGGACGGAGGAATGCGAACAAGCCCTCCTCCACCTCAAACGCGTCATATTGAAGCCATCGGTCCTGACGAGACCAGACGTCGGGGAAACCCTCTACCTGTATTTGGTCGTTTCCACCGAGGCCGTCAGCGCTGTGCTGATCCGAGAAATTCCTGACTGACAGAAGTCGATATACTTCACGAGCAAGGCCTTCCACGGCCCCGAAGTGAGGTACCAGCAGATCGAGAAAGTCGCTCTGGCCCTTGTCAACGCGGCCAGAAGGCTCCGGCATTACTTCCTAGCCCACACCATCGTCGTCAGAACCGAGCAGCCTATCAAACAACTGCTCGGTAGGCCCGACATGTCAGAACTGAGCAGCCTATCGAACAACCTATTAAATAGTGGCGCCGTCTGCGGGAACGCGAAGCTTCCCCGTTCCTCCGAGCAGTAGAACCAAAGCTTTCATCAACTTCAATTTCCAAGATCATGACCAGCCCATACCACGACGGTTTGTCCATAATTTCGCTTTCGCCCCACTCACCAACGGCGAGGACTAGGCTGGGCCCTCCCACGTCCGTGATGGTGACGTGAGGGACAGGAAGACTGCCTCCCCTTCATCCGAGGATGCGACACACCACGTCGCCCCTCAAGCAAGGAGCCCAGCTGGTTTTCATCCCATCGCCAAGCCAGCAGGGATGGACCCGACGATGACTGCTCTCTTCGCAGCCATCAACCAGACTAATCTGATGTTGTTCCAATAGAACGAGCGCATCGGGATACTGGAACATGACACCTCATCTCGCTCTCCCCCGAGGAGAAACCAACGCGAGGATTCCCGGAGCCCCTCTCCCCGTCAACGGGGGCCCCAACCACAATTGGAGAGGCCCTAACCCGTGGCCTCCAAGAAGCGCGACCAATCACCTCCCTGGAAGGAGAGGTGCTCCCCAGCCCCACGAAGAAACAGACTTGAGGCCCCAAGCAAGAGGACGAGGGGTCGTAATCAAGCCCCTCGGCACAATCCTTCGCCCTCGTGCTCCCCTGTCCACAGTGACGAGGACGACCACAAGACTCCCCTATCGCGAGAAATCATGGAGACCCCCATCCCCTATGGGATGGAGA